AGGTTCTGGGCAGAGAACTAGGAAAGAGGGAAGAGAGATAACAAAGAAAAACAGGACAGTATGGAACTTATTCCTTTGGTGAATAGAGTCTAGTTGGAGAGATAAGATTAGTAGAGTTATCCCTTAGTATCCTCAGGGGATTGATTCCAAGACTCCCCCCTCCACCCCATAGATACCAAATCCACAGATGCTCAAGTCCTTTATATAACACGGTGTAGTATTTGCATATAACCTATTCACATCCTCCCATATACTTTAAATCATCTCTAGATTACTTAGAATACCTAATACAATGTACCTGCTATGTAGTTGTTACACTATTTGTTTAAGGAACAATGACAAGGAAAAAAAGCCCATACATATTCGGTACAGACACTACCATCGTAGGCCTAACTGCTTTTTCAGTCCTCACTTGATTGAATCCAAGGAGGTAGAACCTGCAGCTACCAAGGGCTGACTGCACACATGAATTAGAGCGGTGCTTTTCCAACTTGAGTGTGGGGATTTGCTAAACGGGACTTGAGATCTGCATTTCTAACAAGCTCCCAGAGGTTGCTGCTGCTGGCCTGTGGACCAGACTGTAGGGGACTGACATATATTTTCCTAGTTTAAGAATTAAAGTTAGTGAGTAATGTAAATGTTCTGCCCAGAGCGTTTGAAAGTAATCTGTTCCGGACAGGCTCCCTGTGATAAACAAAGGTGTTGCCTAGAGGCATAACAAAGGACCTGAGCTGCAACTAGCAAGAGCAGCCCCGCCCCATGGCATTGGGGGTCTGGAAGCCACAAGATAAACATATTGTTCTTGTGATTGCTGTGTACACCCCATAAGATGGCTGGTTAGTCAATGATGGGTAAGACCCCTCAAGGGAGGGGTGACCTAAGCCAGGCACAGCTGTTGGGGTTCAGCTGAAGATCTTAGGGGGTCACCCTAAGAGAAACTGGGGATGAGAAATGCCCCCTGTGGCTCACCTTGCCCATCCTTGCTAATCTCGGTCCTTTATCTATGCCTAGTGCCTACAGCAACCACCTTGAAATTCTGAGTCAGGGGATATCTGCTTCCCTAAGGCTACGAATTCCGGAATTTATGGCTATCTCTGCCACGCCTGGGCAGTTGCGTACAAGGAACTAACTTTACTCTATTTTAGAGTATAAAAGTAAAACTGACCCGGTGTATTATTACTGGAGTCAACCGTCTGTATGTGTGTTCGCGTTTTTCTTTGTGTTCTGCGTTTGTGTGTTCATCCTCCATCCTGTAAACGGGCCACGACACCAGACCCTCAATAGCAAGGACTGAGAGAGCCACTCGATGCTCTTCAGGCTCCAAAGAGTCCACCGGCAGATAAATAAAGGTCTAATGAGGGAGGAATCGGCATCAGAATTTGCATGCTGTCTTGGACAGAACACGAGAGTAGTGCTGGATATTACCAGAAACCAAGAGATGGTCTTCCTGGGGTTCAAGCTTCAGGGTGAGAAGAGTCTGCAGGATCACGTGGGATAACACATATGCATTATTTAACATCCCTGTGTGGATAAAAATGGTTACAATTCAGTGTTCATGAGATAAAATCCATGTGAAAAACAAAAAGCTAAATTTAGAGGAATGTGTGTGTTATTTATCTGTTCTAGAAGAATTTGGACAAAAATTACAATTTTGACTGAAATAGCCTACGTTGATTATTTGACAAGTTAATCGACCTTCAACTCCTTCTGATTTTCCTCTTAATTTTTCCTTCTGCTTTTTCTGGTTCACTGTGGCATCCTTCCATCCATACTGATCTCTGTGTTCCCTCTTTCTTCTTTCCTGATGGCTGACATTAAAAGTGCATTCAAAATGGAATAGCCACAGGGAGCAGAAAGCAAGAACTCATTCCTCCCTTAGCGCTACTGGATCAGCGATCAAATTCTCGATGGAATCGTGGAATGGGAAGCCTGCCCCAGAATTTCCCTGCCCACCAGGGAATGCCACCTGCAGGCCTAGTAAACGCTGTGGGCTCAGTGGATGCTGTACCACACAGGTGGCCAAAGGCATAGTTGGGAAGGAAGAGACAGGAAAAAGTAAGATGAAAGACAACAAGAGCATAGAAAAAAATAAAAGAGGAGAAAATCATTGTCTTTAGGACAATGATATATAGCTCCTCAAAGTGCCGAATATCACTGAGGGCCATAATTTGCCAACCCACTGTGGGTTAACCCCCTAATTCCCCAAGATGCGGGCTACACTCCATTGATCATCTTTGAGCGCCTATTCTATGCAATACACAGTGTAGGCAGCATGTGGGAAGATTTTTTTTAAAAGAACTTAACATCCTTGCCCTCAAGGAGTTTAGAGTTTTGTGGGTAAGGAAGTTGCTTACATAATCAATTTTTCAGGGTAGAACATAAAAAGTGCTATAAGAGAGACAAAAAGCACCATGGCTATATTTCTAATATCCCAGGAAAAGTAACTGTCTAGCCTAACTCATTCTTATAAGTAAAATGAAGCAACACTTCCATCTAAGTTTCTTTGTATCTAGGTCACAGCATGGAGATCACAGATAGAAATTTTTTTTTTATCATGATGGTTCTCAAAGAAGGCCCAACTTGCAACCTAAGTAAATGTAAAGAGAAAGTTATTTAGTAAATCAATTTATTTCATAAGTCACTACTATTTCATTCATCATGGCTATATGTCATTTTATGCTTGGTAATTAATTTTTTAAAACATTTTTTGTTTGTTTTCCTTAAGTCCCTTCAAAGTAAAAATATGCTGGGTAATATGTGAGATTTTCCAAAATTGTAATATTTCAAAGATGTCAGAACATCCGTATCTTGAAAAGTAACATAAATAGTAAAACTTGTTTGAAAGACTTTAGTATTTTTCTGCTTCTGGTCTAATTAGTTTAGTCTACAAATATTTAAACTTAGAAACAGACATCGATTATTTAAAGAGGGGTGGTGTTTGCTGTGGAATTACTGATCTGGCTCTGAATGTCACCAGCAGTTTGTCACATGTGCCTTATGCCATTGTCCGTATGAAAACTTCCCATAGATAATAGATCTTTGACATTCTTAAGAGGACCAGACCTTTCTGAGTTCTTAAACTCCAAAATCTCGTGATGGAATATTATGCTACCCCATAAAATTCAACAAGGATAATGAGGATAGTCTACATGATTGGAGAACAAAAAAGCCACACTGACATGTGGCCGTTGAGTAGTTGGCCAGGCTGCTCAGTCACCAAGGGCATGTTTCCAGGTACTGCATTAACTTTAACACACGTGTTTTACAATTAGTGCTTGGCAAAATTATGTCAGGGACTTTCTGGATGGCTTTTAAAGAGTTAAGACTGTGAGTATTCAAAGTAAGTGTAAGTTTACAAATACTGCTCTGATCAGATTCTGTAAGTACGTATATATCTCTTTATCTTCCTGTGGTTGTACACACTCACACACACACACTATTAGAGGGTCACACTCTGGTAGACCCAAAAATGGCCCCCCCAAAACTTTCCACATCAAATCCATGGAACCTGTGAATGTGACCTTATTTAGAAAAATGGTTTTTGAAAATGTGATTCAGTTAAGGATCTTACTTGAGACAATCCTGGATCATCCTTTCAGGCCCTAAACCCAATGACAAGTATCCTTACTAGAGAGAGGCCGGGCGCGGTGGCTCACACCTGTAATCCTAGCACTCTGGGAGGCTGAGGCGGGCGGATTGCTCGAGGTCAGGAGTTCGAAACCAGCCTGAGCAAGAGCGAGACCCCCGCCTCTACTATCAATAGAAACAAATTAATTGGCCAACTAACATATATAGAAAAAATTAGCCGGACATGGTGGCGCATGCCTGTAGTCCCAGCTCCTCGAGAGGCTGAGGCAGCAGGATTGCTTGAGCCCAGGAGTCTGAGGTTGCTGTGAGCTAGGCTGATACCATGGCACTCATTCTAGCCTGGCAACAAAGCGAGACTCTGTCAAAAGAGAGAGAGAGGGAGGCAGAAAGAGATGTGAGACAGACAGAAAAAAGAAGACACACACAGAGGGGAAGGCCATGTGAAGATAGAGCAGAGAGCAATACAGCCACAAGCCAAGGCATGCCGACAGCCACCAGAGCCTGCAACTGGCAAAGAAGGACTCTCCCTGAAGTAGCTGCGGGAGATGCAGTCCTGTGACACCTTGATTCAGACTCCTGGCTTCCAGAACTGTGAGAGAATAAATTTCTGTTGTTTTCAGCCACCTGGTTTGTGGTAATTCGTTACAGCAGGCTAGGAGACTAATGCACGCAAAACACCCTCACACTTTTTAGATTCTGGGAGAAAACATCGTACAAAGTTGCTAAGAAGATTAAGTATACTAGATATTGTAGAAGCCAGAGTGATAGAACCATATTCCCCTCAGCAAAATTGAAATGCTTTTATGCGAATGTACTTTATTGTAAGGTACAAAGCTCTGTGGATTTGTAAAGTTATTACCTCAGTAAGGCAAGTAAGTCTAGGCTCATTACTTGTCTTCATAATTATAGAAAGTGCTCTCTCTCCTCTCTCTCTCTGGGTTCTGACCACATTTCAGTCAAGAAAGTTATACAAGCACTCTGGTTGATGCAAAAGTAATTTTATGATTAGGATATGAACTTAAATAGCTCTCCACTAGGCAGAGGCATAAATGCCATAAAACACCTTTAAGGCACTATTGGAAGGTCACCATGGTTGCTATGCTCGGGCTGTTACTTTTAACCATTACATGCCTAATGTCACATGTATTATGCTTTAATAACCATTTAAA